GTCTAATCTTTTGCTAAGCTTCTCTAATATTTTGCTTAACTGAGCTACCTCTGACTCTTGCTTTACAGTTGATCTTCAGTCTCTTGTTTCCCATCTTGTTGTTTACTTTTGATACCACCTAGTATCCGAAGCTTCGTCGTCTGTTTCTGAGAAATATTGTGAGTCTTGGTGGGGGACTTGGTTTGCATCTTGATATCTCCATCTCCTTAATGGCTCCCTATTACTACCAGTTGCTGGTAGTATAGACCTTATTGTGCTTCTCCTATTTTCTGATCGACTATTGTTTCTTCTGAGTCTTGCTATTGCTGTAGCTTCTTTTTCAGTTTTCATGATATCTTCATTACTTATTCCGTCTTCGCTTGGCTTCTAGGGTCTTGTTCTTTCGTTTCTTTAATTATTATATGTGCATTGCTTGACCTAGCTGGATCAGCTGATGCCTTTTGATAATAGTGATTTTTTGCACTCCATCCTAGCCCTTGATTGTTGATCTTTATTTGATGCTGGAATGCCTCTCTTAGATCTTTTTCATTCTCGAAGTACACTACTGCATAGTTTTCTGATACTAAGGTGATCTTATTTTTTGGTATGTAGAAGGCCTTAGCTTTTGTATGGTTTAGGACTTCTTCTATAGATTTTGTAGATAATCCAACTCTATATAGTCTTAAGAAATATCTCTTTTTTTCTTTTAGAATCTGAGTAATTTCTTGGTCGTCTTGTTTCTTGTGGGCTATCACTGACTGTACTTGATTGGATTTTATTTTGATCACCCATTCCTTGTTCAAGTTGATATATTCTCGATAAGCATAAAGATGAACTCTAAACCATTTTTGATGAAAAGATGTTCTATATTCATGAATATTAATAATCTCTCCAAATTCTTCCATTGTTTGTCTGATTACACGTTTGCCAAGCTTGTGATTTGTATCTACCAATGTAATATATTTTGATCTATTTTTAGCTGATGGAAAATTTTCTGGTTTGAAAAACTTTTTGTTCTGGGCATATCTTTGAAAGGCCAGTCGTGGGCTTATCTCTTTGTCTATTCTTCTAAGTGTGAAGTTCTCAGCTTCTTTTTTGTTAACGGCCTCTAGACATCTTGCAGCATCTTCTTCTTCATCAAAACCAAATGTAATCCAATGGTTGCCATTGATAAATTCTGTTTTGAA